GTGCCCCTCCCACTCCTCCAGGGAGGCCCCGCCTGAGCGATGAGGGTATTCGAAAACCATGCTATTTATCAGGTTTCGTACCCCTCCCACTCCTCCAGGGAGGCCCCGCCTGGGCGAGGAGGGTATTCGAAAACCATGCTATGTGTTAGGTTTCATGTCCCTCCCACACCTCCAGGGAGACACCGCCCGAGCCAGGCGGGCATTGGAAAACAATTTTATTTCACAGGTTTCGTGTCCCTCCCACTCCTCCAGGGAGGCCCCGCCTGAGCGACGAGGGTAATCGAAAACCATGTTATTTATCAGGTTTCCTGCCCCTCCCACTCCTCCAGGACAGCCCCGTCTGAGCGAGGAGGGTATTCGAAAACCATGTTATTGATCAGGTTTCGTGCCCCTCCCACTCCTCTACCGCCTGAGCGAGGAGGGTATTCGAAAACCATGCTATGTGTTAGGTTTCGTGTCCCTCCCACTCCTCCAGGACGGCCCCGCCTGAGCGAGGAGGGTATTCGGAAACCATATTATTTATCAGGTTTCGTACCCCCCCCACCCCTCCAGGGAGGCTCCGTGTGAGCGAAGAGGGTATTCGACAACTATTTTATGTATCAGGTTTCGTGCCCCTCCCACTCCTCCAGGGAGGCCCCGCATGAGCGAGGAGGGTTTTCGAAAACCATATTATTGCACAGGTTTCGTGCCCATCCCACCCCTCCATGGAGGCCACGCCTGAGCCAGGAGGGTATTCGAGCAGTATGTTATTTATCAGGTTTCGTACCCCTCCCACTCCTCCAGGGAGACCCCTCCTGAGCGAGGAGGGTATTCGAAAACCATATTATTTCACAGGTTTCGTGTCCCTTCCACCCCTCCAGGGAGGCCCCGCCTGAGCGAGGAGGGTATTTCAAAACTATGTTATTTATCAGGTTTCGTCTCCCGCCCACCCCTCCAGGGAGGCCCCGCCTGAGCGAGGATGGTGTTTCGAAAGCCATATCATTTATCAGGTTTCGTGCCGCTCCCACTCCTCCAGGGAGGCCCCGCCTGAGCGAGGAGGGTAACCGAAAACCATGCTATCTATCATGTCTCGTGACCCTTCCCACTCCTCCAGGGAGGCCCCGCCTGAGCGCGGGCCTGCGAAGCCCATACTGTCTCAAGGTTTCGCGCCCCTTCCCACCCCTACGGGGAGGCCCCGACAGAGCGAGGAGGCTAACCCTCCCACCCTCCTTGCCTTCCTTGCTCTACCGCCTTCCCCTCTATCGCCTTTTCTCTTTTCCCCCCTGGTCCTCCCTCACTCCTTCCATTGTTCCCTTGTCCTTCCTCTTCCACTCCCGCTAAGAGAACGGGGCAATCTCGCCAGAGTCTTGTATGCCATTCGATAGCGTCGCTCTCGTTGTCCCCCTCTATCCATCTTCCTACACCTTCTGCGCCCCCCCTGTAAGTCCGCGGCTTAAGAAGAAAACCACATGTGGGGAACTCCGTTAGCATAATTTTCACTGGGGACATCGCGACTGTCGATGCCGGAGTTAGCTTCATCGACTGCGACGTTGGCTGGGTGGAGGCACGACTCCGAGGCCCAGGGGTCCTCCTCCTCAACCTCCTCGACAAACCCCGGTTCAAATTCCCAGTCGGGGCCGACGTTGGGCCCGGCCTCAGGGTCGGGAGATTCGGGAGCGTCGGACCCCTGGGACGCAAGAGTCGCTGAGCCCCAGCCCTGCTGGCTTTGGAGCCCTCGGCGGGGCAAGCGGGCGGCCGAGGGGCCCGAGGGGGGCGCGGGGCAGTGGGGAGGGGGCGAGAGAGCAGCTGTTCGCCTGCGCCGTGCCGAAGCTCGAGGGAACAGGGCGGGCTCCACGGCACGTCCGTTCTGGCTGAGAAGCTGCGGATGTGTGGAAGGCCGGATTCTGACGCCATCAAGAAGTCGATATGTGAGCTACCTGCGCTCCCGACGCATGTGCATTCAACATCTGCTTGACGGATGTGGCCTTGCATTCTTTCCACAAGCGCGGAAAGACGAAACTGGACAACATCTTGACTGGAATCCCTGAGGACTATCCATTGGGGCTGAGCTGACTGGAGCATGGCACCGAGGCGCGCGTACCTGGGTGCGTTGGCTCCAGAGAAACCGAACGAAGGATGCGCGTAAAGAAGTATGATGAGAAGACTGAAGCCTTGCATATGCACAACTGCCGGCATAAACCCATCGAACGAGTTCGACCCGTCGACGCAGAAAACTGGAGCCTCTGAGGTCTTGCCGAAAGCCTGTGGGCGCTGTGATGACCTCGGGCCAGAAGGACTTCCCCTCTCTCGTTGGCCTTGGCGGCCCCCGCCGCCGTGGTCCCCCTGCCCGTGCCCCGAGCTGCGTTGTCCAGGTGCTTCCACTTGGTCGATCGGGACTTCCTCGCCCACTGCGCCCGAGAGTGGCGTCCTGCGTGAATCTCGGCCATTCCAGCGAGGTCGCGCTGGCTCAAGAACTCTCTGCACCCGACGTGGCCCCACCACTTAGTGCCCAAGCACGTGACACTACCGAGGGACATGGTGAAGACGTCCGAGTCCAGGGAGGTTTTGGCTGGACTATCTGCACCAGGAGTTACAGCACCTGCAGCGGCACCATCAGCCCCCGCTGGCGCCATCGGCGCGCGCCCTGCCTCGGCCGAGGGTGCCTGCAACCCTTCGGCGGGAGCGGGCAACCACTTGCCATTGGCAGCTGCGCCGCACACGCGGGCCCCATCGACTCCTGCCGCCTGCTCCGCCTGCGCCGCCGCCCCGGCCGCCTCGCCAGCAGCGCGCGCTTCCTCGATGCGCTCCACCTCCGCCTGGACGTCGCCTTCGGATGGCGCTGGCCGCGCCGCCTGCCGCACCGAGGGCGCTGCTGAAGCCGCCGTCGTCGCCGCGTCACCGCCGGCGCCGCCCTGCCCGACGTCGTCAGTGGTCTTGAGCTTCGTGGCCATCCGTTCCTCCATGGCCCTCTTGAGCTCGCCGACCTTCTGCTTTCACTTCGCGATGTCGGCCGACGTCGACGCTAAGTCGTTCTTGGTGGCGATGAGGTCGGCCTCGAACTTGCGAAGAGCTTCTTTCTCTGACTTGTCGCGCTCTACCTCGTCCAACTTTGCGAGCAACTCCGCGTTCCAGGTGAGATCGACTACCTCCGCCCTGGGCCTGGCTGCCTCCGCCGCCGCCGTGGTCGCCCGCATTGGTGCCGAGCTCTTGCGCCAGCGCCTTGGGCGCCGTTCTCTTGCTGATATCGCCCGTCGTTAAAACCCGCAGCGTCTCCGCCTCCTTGGCGAGGGCGCGCTCCAGGTTCTCGCGGTAACGCTTCGCGCGGCTCGCCGCCTGCTCGTAGCAGAGGGAGGCGTCCTCCCAAGCGCCTTCCGCCCGCGTCGCCGCCTCATGCAGCAGGCTGCGCCGGCGCTGCAGAGGTGGGCGGCTTGACCGTCTGCTCAACCTGCTGCGCCTGCTGCTGCAAGCCCTTCTTGGCCTCGGGGTTCTCCGTCAGCTCGACGGCCTGCGCCAACATGCCCGAGACCGTGGGGCGTGCCTGCATGGCGCCCTCGAGCGTGGGCGGCGGCTGGTCGTCCCTGGCTTTCCGAGGTTTGTGAAGCTTCACTAGTCTACTGCACTTGCTGCACTTCATCTGTGCCTTGGTGAGCACGTCGTTGTACTCGCACGTGTTACAGGCTTTGCATGTAGACCAAGGGAGCGACCTCACAGGGCGAACTTCTCTTCGCCAGCGGGACTGATCACAGAACGTGTGGAGTGAGAAGCCCGCTGCCCCTCAAGCACTGGGTGGAAGTGAGAGGCCTCGGCTCTAGGTCGCAACAAGATGATGTGCTCGAGCTAATATGTGCTTGAGGAGGAGGAGGAGGGCAAGGAGGGCGAAGTGGGGGAGGAGGAGGAGGATTAGGATGAGGATGAGGAGGAGGGAGGAGGAGGAGAACGAGGAGGAGAAGGAGGAGGAGGAGGAGGAGGAGGAGGACCATTGTAAGCCCAAGACCCATCAAAGATGTTGGGGGATACAGCCTCCCTCCAAGCTCCTTCACAGGGCCCATCAAGGATTCAAGTCCATTGAGGGAAATGCTCCGTTGGGGGACAACCGTGTGGAAATCCTGAAGCGCGCCAGAACACCATTTTCAGGACTTCAACGCCACGAGTCAACCTGACTTCTGCGTCTCGACGAGCCTGAATCGTGCCATAATTTCTGGGGTTCAATACCGCGAATGAGCGTAACAGTTGCGCCCTGGCAGCCCCGAATAGTTTCCCAAGGCCATGTCTGGTATTTTAGCCATGAGAATCCGTGAAACTGTTGTAAATTTTGGGCACGAGTGTGCGCGGCGCTAGGGCGAGATCCACATTTTGAACAGGAATCGCCCTCAATCTTTGAAGCTCTTGTAAATGTTTCAGACGAGTGTGCGTGGCGCTAGGGCGAGAGCCACATTTTGAAAACAACCGGCCCTCAATCCGTGAAGCTCTTGCAAATTTTGAAAAAATGTGCGCGGCGCGGAGGCGAGAGCCATTTTTTGAAAACCACCGGCCCTCAATCCGTGAAGATCTTGCAAATGTTTAAAGCGAATGTGCGCGGCGCTGAGGCGAGAGCCACATTAAACATCCACTGGCCCTCCGTGCGTGAAACAGTTGTCAGGTTCGAAGCTTCAGGCTCATAATGGTGAGGACGTCTCAGGCAAATGCTAGCCCGCCTTTCCGACTGTCGTCGGGGTGCGACAGGGAGGAGTTGTTCATAAGGAACACGAATGGAGGAGGAGGAGGAGGAGGAGGAGGAGGAGGAGGATGAGGTGGAGGAGGAGGAGGTGGAGGAGGAGGAGGAGGGAGGAGGAGGAGGAGTTCCAGCTTCCAAGAAGCCTTCTCAGAAGCTTGTGGCCCTCGCAGAACGGCACTCCCCTCGCGCCGCGCCCTGGTCCGCGCCGCCAAGAGAACGATGGCGGGATCGGTGCCAAACGGGTGCAGGGTGCAAGGTCGGAAAGGGGGGCCGGCTGGTCGGCGTCGGGGCTTCGGGCCTCTCCGAGGCCTGGTCGTGGACAAGAGGATGTTCCAGGGGCGGCTGCTCAACCGAGGCTCGACAGTGTCCACGAATGAGGAGGATGAGGAGGAGGAGGAGGAGGAGGAGGAGGAGGAGGAGGAGGAGGAGGAGGAGGAGGAGGAGATGGAGCAGGAGCAGCAGGAGGAGGAGGAGGAGGAGGAGCAGGAGGATGAGGAGGAGTAGGAGGAGCGGGAGGAGAGCGATCTTGGCTCAAGGTTGTTTTGGCTCACAGGCTTTGTGGCCACGCTGCCGCCCCTGCGCGACGGTTGCCGATGCGCGAGTGTGTTCCGTCCCTGGCAGGGTCGATGCTGGTGCGCAGGTTCTGCTCTCCCGCCTCCTCAGCGTGGACTCGGGCAAGCTGGAGGTGAGTATCCTTGTCCGGGAGACTGTACTCTCTCCGCGCCTGCTCTTCACAGTCCCCCGTGCGGCACAGGTGCAGGGCTTTTCCTCGCCTCACTTCCGCAAGCGTACCGATGGTTCGATAGAGGTCTGCGCGTGGCCCACCCCTGTGCGAGTCCGTGCTGCTGCGCCGTGACGCTCGGGATCTCTTTCCCTCGACTGCTGGCGAAGCTCCTCGTCGCAGTGGTGATGCTCAGGGCGAGGTTCCTCCTCATGATCCGAACAATGCGAATGACGATCGAGATGCAGCTGTCCCCCATGGTCGTGGAGCGTGCGGTGGTGACCCCGATTGGCAGCCCCGTCCAGGCGCGGCCGTGCTGGACACACAAGACGCACAAACACACACAAGCACACACAGACGCACGGAGACACACACACACAGATACACACATGCACACACAGACACACAGACAGACACACATACAGACACACAGACAGACACACAGACACACAAACACATACACATACACACATACTCCGACACACGCAAAACGCAAACACAAACACACACACAAACACACACAACATACACACAACACGCACACACGCACACGTACACGCACACACACACACACACGCACACGCACACACATAACACACAACACACAACACAGCACACAACACATAACACACAACACGCAACACACAACACACAACACACAACCCACACCACACAACACACAACACACAAGACACAGCACGCACCACACAGCACACCACACACACACACGCACGCAACACACAACACACACAACACATCACGCACCACCACAGCACACAACACACCACACCACACAACACACAGCACGCAACACACAGCACCATACACACAAGCGCACCACACAACACACAACACACAACGCACCGCACACAACACACAACACACGACACACAATATACAACACACAACACACAGCGCACAACGCCCAACTCACAACACACAACACATAACGCACACCACACACAGCGCACAACACACAACACACAACACACAACCCACTACAACGCACAGCGCACAACGCACAACGCACAACGCACAACGCACAACGCACAACGCACAACGCACAACGCACAACGCACACCGCACACCGCACACCGCACAACGCACAACGCACAACGCACAACGCACAACGCACAACGCACAACGCACACCGCACAACGCACAACGCACACGCACACGCACACGCACACGCACACGCACACGCACTCGCACACGCACACGCACACGCACACGACCACGCACTAGCACTCGCACTCGCACTCGCACTCGCACAATCACACGCAGCATGCACACGCACACGCGCACGCACACGCATATGCACACGCACACGCACACGCACACGCACACGCGCTCACACGCACACACGCACACACATATACACACACGCACACGCACACACATGCACATGCACACGCACACACACGCACACGCCACGCACGCACACGCACGCACACGCACACGCACTCGCACACGCACACGCACACGCATACGCACACGCACACACACACACACGCAGACACGCACACACAGACACACACACACACACACACACGCACACGCACACGCACACGCACACGCACTCGCACACGCACTCGCACACGCACTCGCACACGCACACGCACACGCACTCACACGCACTCACACGCACACACATATACATGTACACACACACGCACATGCACACGCACACACAAACACACACTCGCACACGCACGCGCACACGCACATGCATACGCACACCCACACGCACACGCAGACGCACACGCACACGCACACGGGCAGAGACAGAGACAGAGACAGACAGACAGACAGACAGACAGACAGACAGGCAGGCAGGCAGACATAACATTCATTCATACATACATATATCCTTCCATCCACCCGTACATCCATACATCCATACATCCAGATATCCATACATCCATCCATCCATACCTACCTACCTACCTACCTACCTACCTACCTACCTACCTACATACGTACACACATACATGCACACACCTACACACACGTACATATAGTTATACACACATATATATATATATATGTATGTGTGTATGTACATGCATACATGTATATATGCGCATGTATATATATAAACAAACATATGCGTACACCTATATATCTATATATCTGTATGTATGTATGTATGTATGTATGTATGCATGTATGTATGTATGTATGTATGTATGTATGTATGTATGTATGTATGTGTGTGTATGTATGTATGTATGTATGTATGTATGTATGTATGTATGCATGCATGCATGCATGCATGCACGCATGTATGTATGTATTATGTATATATATATATATAATATATATATATATATATATATATATATCACGGGGGGGGCAGGCCTGGGGCCCGAAAACAGCTGCCTCGACCCTCCATGGGAGTACCGGGGCTCATTTTCGTAGTGTTTTTACAGGGTTTCCGCGTCCTGGGCCTCGGAGGCCGCCGCCTCCGACCCCCCGTGGGAGGACGGGGCGGCCGGGGAGGTCCAAAATAGTCCAGGAGGGCCTCCAGAGGCTCCCAAGACGGCCCAAGCGGGCGCCGAGTCGCCGAAAGACCGCTCCAGGACGCTCAAGATAGGCCCAAGACGGCCCGAGAGGCCCCCCAGAACACTCCACGACGCTTCAAGACACCTCTCCAGAGCGCTTCAAGAGGCTGAAATCGTCAATTTTACGAAGGTTTTCGAACGATTTTGGCCTTCCAGCCTTTTCGGCTGTCCGACATTCCAAGGCGGCTCAATAGGCCCCCACGAGCGCCCCAAGACGGCCCAGGAGGGCCCCAAGACGGCCCCAGAGTCGCCCAAGACAGCCCAACAGAGCCCCAAGACGGCCCCAAGATGCGCCCAAGAGGGGGACCACGACTCCAGCATTCGACCCTCCTGCTTGAAGAGTGCCCTAGGAGGCCCCAAGGAGCCCCCAAGAGGCCCCAGGAGGCCCCGAAGAGGCACCCAGGAGGCCCAAACGAGGCCTAAAGAGGCCACAAAACAGCCCCGAGGAGGCCCCACAACGGTCCCAAAACGGCTACCGAGAAGATGCGAAACTGCCTTCACGACGTCCCCGACAGGCCAACCACGAGATCCAAACCAACACCCATGAGGTCTCTGACCCACCACCCAGGGCACGGTGGCAGGAGCAGTGACAGCACTTGTGCACAGCATGTTCCGGCGGGAGCCTTCCGGAACACGCTGCAGGAGGAGGAGGAGGAGGAAGATCAGGAGGAGAGAGAGCTGGAGTGGGAGGAGGAGGAGGGGGACGAGGAGGAGGAAGTGGCCTCCAAGACAGCTCCAAGATAGCCGAAGAGGCTTCCAAGAGGGCCCTGGGCGGCCCATGAGGGCCCCAAGGCGGTGCCTGAGGCGCCCAAGACGGCCCGAGAGGGCCCCAAGACGGCCCCAAGAGAGGCCCAAGAAGGGAAACACGGACCGAGAATCCGAGCTTTCTACCCCGAGAGGTTCTCGGGAAGTGTCAAGAGGCCCCCAATCGGATCCACGAGGCCCCCAAGAAGCTCCCAAGAGGGCCGACGAGGTTCCAAGAGATCTCCCAAGGTGGCCCCAAGAGGCACAACTCATTGTTTTACGATTGGGCTTTGACGGGTTTCAATTTTTTCGTTCTTTTGGCATCCCGATGCTCCAAGACGGCCCAAGAGGCTTCCAATACCGCTCCAATATAGAGGAAGAGGCCTCCAAGAGGGCCCTGAGACGGCCCGCGAGGGCCGCAAGACGGTGCTTGAGGCGCCCAAGACGGCCCGAGAGGGCCCCGAGAGCCCCAAGAGAGGCCCAAGAAGGGGAACGCGACCCAACAGCAGAGCGTTCCCCCCAAAAGGCCCACAGGAGGCCGCAAGAGGCCCCCAAATGGTCCGACGAGGACCCCAAAAGCTTCCCGAGGGCCCACAAGGCCCCTAGGAGACGTCCAAGAGGTTCTGAAATAGCCCAAGAGTGCCCTCGATGCGTCAAAACTGCTTCCAGGAGGCCCCCGGCAGGCTTCGGATTGCCTCAGGCGCGGTGATCGATGTTGCACACTGCTCCCCATCAGTGAGGAAAAGAGTATCCCGCTCACATGCACGACATTCTTCGGGGTTATCGTATGTCCACGTACTCGAGACACCGGCTCGGACTGTGTCCGCGTCCGCTGATTCAAATCAGCCTTCAACACAGACCAACGATTATATTTAGATTTGCTCGCATGGGTCAAATTAAGAGTCGCGCTCCATTCATTTCGCCGGTGGAACCTCGAAGGATCGTGTCATGAAAGTGGCGAGAGCACGGTTTTGAAAAGAGGTGCCATCCTTTTGATTGAATGATGAAGATGTGGAGAAGTTCCAGGCGAGAGCGATTTGGTTAAACAGTGAGCCGCTCTCTAATTGTGAAGTTGTTGAAGGCTTCAAACTTAAAGGGCACACTCCATGGGACAGTCTCCGGCAAGAGCCAGATTTTGAAAGCCTCCCGCCCTTCAGCTGTGTAGGCGCAGGGGTCTTGTCGGTTCAATGTGCGCGGCTCCCGAACGCGAGCCGCACATCAAATACTTACCGACCTCCTTCTGTGCAGCTGCTGGAAGCTTTGGTTAAACGTAGGACGCCACTTGATGTCGATCCATGCAGCTGTCGAACGCCATCCTCGGAAATC